CTGGACATCCTGATCCCAGGTGAGGAGCCCAGGGCTCAGTCAGGGACCCAGATTCTGCACAGGCCCTGCCGGGAGAGCTGAGGAAGTGATGGCATGGTTTGGTGTCAGGAAGGGAGGGAAACAGTGGGATGGGAGACCAGGAGGGGCAGATTCAGAGGAAGCAGAGAACGAAGGTTCACAGAAACAGCCTTGCTGAGGCCTCAGCTAAGGACAAACTGGGGCCACCCCTCACCACCCTCCTTCTCTCCAGGACAGCTCACTGCCACACCCTCTCTTTCGGTGCATCCAATACCACCAGTGTCCTCAGGAGAGAATGTGACACTGCTCTGTCAGTCACAGAACCCAATGGACACTTTCCTTCTGTCCAAGGAGGGGGCAGCTGATCCCCCACTGCGTCTGAGATCAGAATCCCAAGCTCAGCAGTCACAAGCAGAATTCTCCTTGGGAGCTGCAAGCTCATCCTTCAGGGGCACCTACAGGTGCTATGGCTCTCAGAACTCAACTCCTTATCTGTTGTCACAGCCCAGTGATGCTGTGGAGCTCGAGGTCTCAGGTGAGCTATCCTGGACCCTTTCTCTCTGGTATGTGTCCCTGTGACACTGCTCCAAGGACAGTTCTTCATGGGGTTAGAGTTAAGCAACAGTCAGAGTGGGCTAAGTGCAGCCCTCAGAGGAGGAGGCCAGCTGGCTCTGCTCATGCATGGCCACAGCACCACAGGCTGGCAGAGCTTCCTGGCGGGTAGCAGGAGGGTTGAAGTGAGGCCACAGGGCAAAGGGAGAGGCGAGAGCAGATATGGGTTCACCAGGGCAGCCCAGAACCTCGCCTTCCTCTTGCCCATTCCCAGAATCATCTGAAACCCCATGTCCTGTCCTCAGAATGCAGCCCCACAGCAGGAGCATCCTGGGCTCGGTTTCAAAGTCCTGTGTCCAGGCTGCCTGGAGATTCTCAGTCAATCACAGTCCTGGTTCCAGTCTCAGCTCCCCTGGATTCCAGGCACAGAGAAGGTGGAAGGGAACCAGGAACACCAGGGCTCGGGATCTGGGCTGACAGGGGCAGTGTCCAGGGGCAGGAGGCTTTGGGATTCAGCCTGGAAGGAGCAGCAGCTGAAATTGGAGCAGGGAGCCCAGCCCCTTTCCTCCACAACCCTCCTAGGAGGTTCTAAGAACCAGCCACTCCTTCCAGAGTTTGGACACCAAGGTGGAGAATGAGGGCACTGCTGGGGGAGCAGGGGCAGTGGCTGAACTATGGGGCTGGTGCAGCTGCTCTGGGGATACAGACTCGGACCAGCCCGTCCTGGGTGGGCCTCCAGGTCCCCATGCTGTGGAGGTCCTGTCTCTCTGTTCAGGAACAGGGACAGTGTGCAGGGCAGGGGCAGAACCAGGACAGCCTGCTCAGGTTTTCTCTCCTCATCAGTTCACAAGGCTGGAAGTCAACACCTCCAAGTTTCAGGCCCAGGAAGCCTTCTTCCTTCTGGGAGGTCTGCGGCACTGATTGCCTCTCTGAGCCTGTGTCTTTGTCTGTCCACTGCCTGGGGTGCGCAATCACATGTCCCACAACTGTTGAGGGCTGGGGTAAGGAGCCCAACAACCAAGCATGAGCCAGGCACACAAGAAATACTCAACCTGTCAGCACGGTGTTCCACTTACAAAGTCACTGCTTTGTCTTCCACACTGAATTCATCACCTAGGACTGGCATGGCACCTGAAGGCTCTGATCGGGGTCTTGGTGGCATCAGTCCTGCTGCTTCTGCTCCTCGTTCTCTTCCTTGTCCTCCGACACCAGCGCCAGAGCAAAAGCAGGACAGCAGGTGAGTAGGGAGAGGGTGAGCAGGGCCTCAAGAGGTCTTGGGTCCCCCATAGTCTATGCCACACTGGGCCCAGGCATTGGCCCAGGACATGGTCTGATGGAGCGCAGTGGGCTTAGCTTTGCCTCTTCACAATGCACAGTTGGAGAATCCAGCGCAGAACACATGACCCATCCTGAAGGTGTCTCCAGTGTGGTCTGAGCTTCTCCTCAGGCAGCATCGGCTCCCCGGTCCGTGTGCTCTGAAGCTTCCTCCTGCCCTGTGTGGCCTGCAGCCCTGGGTGGTTCTGTCCTCCTGGCTGACTCTGTGATTTCCTAGCTCAGAGAGATCCCAGCTTCCTCTATCCAGCAAGGGCTGCA